AAGGAGAGACATCTTTAGTCATGACCTCACCCATAATAAAAGAAAATCAACCTTTGAATCAATAATTTGGGAAAATACTTCCCAAGTCCCTCATTCTATGATTCCAGATAAAAATGTCATTTTAAGTATAAATGGACTTGTAACTCCCCAAACCTGATATAGGAGACCCACTCGGGTACTTTAGTGTACATTCAGTTCCAACATGTTGGACAAAACAAATCTCTAAATCATGCAAACTACGCGGAAATGTAGAAATTTAAAATCATCTCTGCATGTGACACATGGCGACAAATCATATTAAATAGCATGAAATCATTCATCAAATGAAATAGTACAAAAATATCTTAGCATACAATCAGGGGTAAAACAATCATTTCATCGCGTGAGGAAATTTTAGATCAATCAGTCAAATTGAATTTACCATTTCTTAATATTAATATTCAATTAACATCATGCAAATTTTCAGTTCATTTGGATCATAATCGAGTACCTAATTAAGCATACGAGTCTAAGGACTAAAACACAAACATTATGAATGTTGCACAAAATCATTGAGCATGCAATTTAGGTTTTCATTATAAATTTTAAACATATTTTAAGAGTGATAAAACAAGTCCTAACAAATTTTGGATTTTCGTCTAAGATTAATTAGCTGTTCATTTTCTAGACCATTTTGAACTAACACGACATTCAGGGAACATATTAACACTAAGGAACACTTCAGGTCTTTAATGAATACAAGTTTTCCTTTTCCATTGGGCTCAATAGCGAAGGGATCGATCCTTTATTACGAGGGATCGGTCTTTTGCAAAACAGTAAGTTTGGGATCGATCCTCTAGGCCAAAGGATCGATCCTCTAGGCCAAGGGATCGATCATTTTGTGAAGGATCGATCCTTTCCCCTAAGGGATCGATCATTTTCCTGGAAAAATACAGAATTCTCAAGAACATGCATATTTGATACACTAAACTTCCATATAAACGATCCTAGGAACTAGATACATGCTTGAATACTCTCATACCACATCATACATGTAAAAATACATATGCATCATGCCTCATAACTCATAACTCACGTCACAAAAACATACAAGAATTCAGCATCAAAAGTCAAACATTGCATGAAAGTTCACTTTTAACACAAGTCATCTGGCCCAATTATGCAATTTGAGTCATTTCATGCATTCTATGAACCTATGTGTAATTATGCTCTCATGATATATTCACAACTTCACATGCATTATAACATGCCACAATGCAACATAATTATACACAATTAGCAGAATATTTGTATGCCACTAATCATCACATTAAACACAAAAATCATATAAACTCAAGCACAATTACATCTTTGGGGTGACACACACACTGCACACACTTTATTTCCAATTAAAGATCAACGACCTTTGTTCAAAATACAACTCACTCATTGGATAAATGGACTCCATACAACTCTCATTTTATTTATGGACTTTCTTAGGTCCAAATCCACCTGTTTGCGGAGCAAAGCTCTTACCCCGTACACTTCTTAAAGCAAATCTTAATGCACCTACCTTTCCTTGTATAATCCCGATAACACTTACACTTGAACAAAACACATAGAGTACTCTTTCCTAGGCATGTCTTTCATATCCAAAGGTCACATTAAGATTATAAGCCAATTAATCCAAATTCATCAAGAGTGGTTCTTAATGATGCATGGTTTCACATACACACTTTCAAATTCATTTTGAAACAATCTCACTATTGGTTGTCATGATCAACCACGCATAAGAACAGTGAGAAAACTCCTCTCGTCCACACTATTTCACTTATATATACATTTTTCAAATACGCTTTTGAAAACACCATGCATCATTTGCAACGCATCACAATCCACATATCATATTACATATTTGAAATTCACAACATAACCATAAACAATTATGTGCATCAACATAACATGTCATATTCAGAATTTAACCTTAGAAAATCACTAATCTAAACTTTCTTTTACCTTTGAACATGTTCATATACAAAGAATGAGAGTCACTCACCTTTGCTGCCCATTAAACCGAAATCGACTCCGAACACTTAGGAAACGACCACCAAAACACAATGCAACAATTCTCCCACACAAGCAACTCAAAAAACACCTTGGAAAGAAAAATAATACATCAAGAACTCAGCTAAAACGAAGCAAAATTCATTGTTTCTAAAACAGAGTGAAAATATTGAAACTACCGAAAAACCTTACCAAAATGATCCTTAGCACTTCCAATCCGATTAGCACTTCATTTACTCGATAAGAACTGATAAAAAAACATACTATTAAAATCTAATCCCAACTAAAAACATCAAAACTTACTTCTTCTAATCTAATTCCCGAATTTTTAAAAATACCGAAATCAAGCTTGTTTTCAAGAAATCAATATCCAAATCAAAAGAGATTGGAAAACTGATTTAACATGATTATAATCATCTCATAAACATCTAAATTTCATAAAGAAAACCTCATAATCAACTCAAGACATATACATCAATAATTAACTCCGAAAATCAATTTTAATTCACAAAACTCTCTTTAAAGAATTGTTTACAAATAAAACACCAATCAAAATAGATCATTAATCATTGAAGCACAAAAAGAACCAAGGAAGGAGCATTACCTTACTGAAAAACGAATGGAAAGAAAAGAAGAATGATCACCAACGGCTCTCCATCAAGATCATGAAGAAAACGACAAGGGAAGATGAAAAGAAAACAATCTTGATTAAAATCAAGCTTAAGAAGACGAGATTTAGAAAACAAAAGAGAAGAGAAAGAAAGAAGAATGTTCAGCTATTAAAGAGGATTTTGAGAGCATTTGGGAGAAGTTACAAAGTGGTTAGAAGAGAGGAAATGAAAAAACACGGTAAATGAAATTTAAGAGAATGAAAATGAGATTAGTTTAGAAAATGAATCTAGATGTAATTTTGGCAAAAAGGAGAAATTAAAATAAGGTTAATTTAGGAGGGAAAAACACTTAATACAAGCCTTGGTAAAATAAGCTTCATAGATTTTCGATTTTGTGATCTTTTCAATTTAGTCACTAAAACACTATTTTGAAATTACTCAATTTATTCACTTGCAAAATAAAATAATAAATCCCCAAAAAATACACAATCTTAAATTCCAAATCATATAAACCATTTTAATAATTATTAGCTTCTAAAAATATTGAAATCAATATTTTATCGAAAATCCGGAAACCAACCCAACTACCGACCTGAAACTACTAACCAGAACTTCGGGACATTACAGGGCTCCTACTCAAACCAAAACAAGCTCAACTTAGCCCAAAATTTCCAAATAGGAACTTAGATTATCTAAAATCCATTCGGGTTTACTCAAAATTACTAAGTCAAAAATCAGGGCGTTACACATATCCCACATTGGTGGGAAAACAAGCATGGTAATGATTTATATACACCAACCCACTTGCTAGTCATTGAATGACTTGATTTGAAACTGTGCCTCACACGCAGGTGCATAGAGGGTGTAAATCCAAGCTCGTCAAGTTTATTGGGGTTGGGGCACACCCGCAATGTATGGCGGGGGCTTGTGGATATTTTACCCACTATGAATTAATATTTTCCTTAAATGTTACATATATATTTTGAATTAAAAGGATATTATGATTTCATTTAATTCAAATGCTAATATGGTATGTCTTTTTGTTTACAAATATATTCGATTAAATGCAATATTAATCGATTACTTTTGAATTTATTTGGATACTCAAAAACTCTATAAATATCGTATAGACCTATTAGGTTAAACACAACTCAAAAACTCTTTTTTTCTTGTCTAGTTTCCACTGATATGCTCAGACAATGTATATGTTGATCATCTTGTTGTTGTATCCTGGGATACAGACGACCAAAGATCTCAAGCACCAAGGAGTGGCCGAAAATTTGTCTTAAGAAAACTTTGTAGCTACATGCATCAACTAGTTTCCAGTTCGTTATTCTATCGGCATTCATATTTTTTATTCTAAATTATATTCTTTATTTATTAATAAAATATTTCTTTCTTTTTCTTTTTTGTCTCGAATTATTATACTTGTAACATATCATTTTAAAAAAAGTAATAAACAAAATCGATTAAATTATTTGAAAATCGGATAAATTAAAAGTATCAAAAATCTAATTCTACCTAATTCATGTTCATCTCTATTTGCATTCATTTCCTCTATATCATATTTATACCATTTTAGTGGGATATAGTAATTAAAGAAATACTTAAAATATTTGGAAAAAATGGACTTGGACGTATAGAAGAACATCAAGGCATCTTGATCATGACAATTCCGTTCTTTAGTCTTGTGTGTGTATATATAATTTGAAACAGTCAAAATGAAAATGGATAATAATATTGCAACGAATTAAACGCTAATCGATTAATATTTGCACATTTTTATTCTCTTTCTTAGTAATTTCCTCTTTTTTAGTGATAATTGTTAATTAAATATATGATAAAATAATTAATAACATCATTTTAATATTGATTAATATAAAATTTTATATTTAAATCCTGAATATTTTCTTTCGTTCCTTATTATAAAAAAGGAATGAATATATATAATGATAATTAACCAAAGGGAATGAAATTGATTGGCTAGGAACAGTAAAAAATATCAATTTTAATATGTAAATTTCAGATGTTGGTCGAATCTTATTTTTATGTATAATTATTGATATTTGATCTACTAATCGATTGATTAGAATTGATTATCATAGAGATTTAATATAAAAATAACCCTCTCAACTCAGTTTACTTCATTAAAAAATATTAGGGTATAAACCTCTAACCTCGCTTAAAGAATCTAGTGTCTTATTTCATTAGACCAATTGATTGTTAATATTATTATATAATGAATAAGATGATATGAGTTAGAATATGTTTAAATACGTAATATTATCTTATTATTTAATTTATGAATGGGGTGTATAAAATAAAAAAATAAATCATATAATTAGGTGACCTAAAAAATAAACAACTTTATAGTTGAAAAGAAAATTGAGGTACATATTTTCTCCTCCTCTCCCAAACATGTAAAATATTCGTTTTTAGCCTTAACAAACATATATTAGATCCCTAAGCTGACATGAATTCCCCATAAGTATATCTTAATTTTCTTCATATTTTAACCCTAAAACTAACTTTATTAAATATATCCTTAAACTTCTCCTTGGGAAAGAGTTTTCCTGGGACCTCAGTAAATTTAAGCATTAAATCATGCCCAAAGCGGTTCCCATAATGACCCAAAGTTGTTATCTTCAATGAGGCTTGGGTTGTTGTTGGTAATCAAAATGTCCATGGATTGCTGGGGATTTGGTTGAGGAGACGTCGATTGTGCCATCTCCATGCAAAGCATGGCGGCTAGATTTGCTTGTTGCAATTGCATGTTGGTCACTTCGGCTTTTGCTTTGGCTAGTTGTGCTTGGAGCTCGTTGATCTGTTTTTGCAGTTGGCAGATCGCCCCGGTGCAACCGTAAACCGGGTCTCGGATTCTCGCATTCGCCTCGTAAACCATGCTGCTTACCGCGTCAGCCCTTTGAGATTCGGGAAGTTCCTGAGAAGGGAAAACTATCAAGTTGCACACTTTTTATTGGTATATCTAGGGATGGCAAAGGGTTAGATTGAGTAAAGTTTTTAATTAATCTGGCTTGATCTGAAAACTATACACTCTCAACTTAAATCTGATCCAATCCGAGAAACATGCACCCTTCACTCAAATCGATTCGACCTAAGAAGTATATATGTTCCACCCGAACCCAACCCAACCCGAGAAGCATACACCCTTCGCCCGAATCAATTTGATATGAGGAGCACATTCTCTCACATAAATTTGATCCAACCCAAAATTTTAAGACAAATATGCATCCAACTCGACCCTATCCGACATATATACATAAAAAGTCATTTTTATTCGATAAAATATGGACCTAATTAAAAGTTCTATAAAGAGAGTATTATAGCAACTGTCTAAATTTATAAAATAAAATCGTGCTATTATCCCGGATCGGGTGGGGTCTTAGTTTTTCAGTCTAAATCTGAATCCAAAAAAATTATACTATTATTTTTATTGATTCGAATTCAAATTTATTAATTTCAGGTTAAATTATCATCCCTATGTATATATTTTTGCCACATTTGTCAACGCATTAACCCAAAGGTAGCCTCGTAGCATTTTCACACTACATGATGATAACAGTGAGTGTTGAATGGGGAACGGAGAACAGTGATTAAACCCCAAAAGAAGCAAACAAAACTACCTGCAAGAACTTGATGATGTTGCTAGCACCGAAAACACGGTGAGCAATGGTGAATTTGGCCGGTTCGGTAGGAGGAAAATAAGGTGCCAACACACATTGATTAGCACACCTTCTCCTCAACATCTTGCAGGCAGCGCAGGGGCTGATAACAACCGCCGGAGGCGGAAAAGGAGGAGACAGCGATGACAGCAAAATCGAAGAATTCGGAGAAGATGTTGTGGTGGCGGCTGCTGCTTTGGGAATTGGTTCACAGTGTTCCATCTTAAATATGTCTGTTTTAAGGCTTTGAAGGCGAGTTATGGGAATGAATTAAGAGTTGGGTGGTGACAGTTAATGTTATTGGAAGATTGTTAGAAAAAGGTATTATTTATACCGGAAATTAGGCAAAACAATGATGTTGTGTGTGATGGGTCCATAAATTAAGAATGAGGTCTAAAATTTTAATAATTTTTTTTAAAAAAATAATAGGTATACAAAATTTTTATTTTTATCTTTATCTTAATATATTAAATTAAATTTAACCATTCAAAATAATGGGATGTACTTGACCCCTTAGGGGGCTTAGTGCATCTACCCTACTATATGGGACAAGTTCTACTTACATTATATAAAACTAATAAGTTGTATGCTAATCATGACTCTCATTCTAAGTTAGTCTCTGAACTTTTGAATATTTTAAATTCATCCCTACATTTTTTTAATAATTTTGGAGGATGTTATCGAAATTTTCAAAAATTTCAAGACCAATTTATAATGAGGGTCATAGTTTGGAGATGAATTTAGAATGTTGAAAAGTTTTGGAGATTAATTTAGAATGAGAGTCAATTATAGTTTGGGGATAAAATTGTAATACTCCAAAATTTAAGGATTAATTTATATTTATAGTTTAGGGATGTGGGTAGTAATTAACTCTAATACATAAACATATTTTTAATATAAAGATCTCAATATCACTTAATCACTAGGCTTTTGGTAAAACTATATATCTTTAGAAAAATTGAGTATTATATATTTATATTGGCATTTAATATAAAAATCGTTCTTATATTGGCATTTATGTATTTGGATAACCACTAAATCACTTACTATATATCTTTAGATACGCTTAGAAATTAGAATTGCCTACTAAACTACACGTTTAATGTGTTTGGATAGTCATTATAATTGGCAAGTTCTACCAAATTAAGTAATTATTTAACATTATATTTAAAAGAGTTAATTCATCACCTGTCCTTAAACTATGACTCTCATTTCAAATTAGTCCTTAAACTTTTAAATATTCCAATTTCATCCTTAAACTATGACTCTCATTTCAAATTAGTCCTTAAACTTTTGAAAATTCAAATTTTATCCCCAAACTATGAATCTCATTCTAAATCGGTCCTTAAACTTTTAGATCTTTCAATTTCATCCCCAAATTCATCCAAATATTTAATCCTTTTCAACCATAGTTTAACCTAAAAAAAATTCAAACATATAATCATATAACTTGCCTAATGATTTTACTACCAAGAGATGTGATTAGTATATACAAATAATTTAGGATAAAATTGAAATATTCAAAAAGTTTGGAGACAAATTTAGGATGAAGATCATAGCTTGGGGATAAAAATGAAATATTCAAAATTTGAGGACTAATTTAAAATAATAGTCATACTTTAAGGATAAAATTAAAATATTTAAAAGTTTAGTGACTAATTTAAAATGAGGGTCAGAATATATTTTACCATTAATTCTATTTAAAAACTGCTTTGGGGTCAAAAGTACTTATGGAACTAAAAGGTCCGTTTAAAAGGCATTTTTAACCTAAAAGTAGAAGTTGAAAAAGACATTTAGAACTAAGGGGGTTGTTTAATAAAATAAAATGATTAAGCGTTGAATGATTTAATGGCCTGAATGATTCAAAGGCTCTGTATGAATTGGCTCTGAATGTGACATGTTGTTTGATAATGGTTCTGAATGTACAATCTGAATTATGAATATTTTCATTTTTACCTTCATAATGATTTATTATATTATAAGATATGATTGTTTAATAAGAGAACATGTGAAAAATAGGTATTATGGTAAAATATCGGGTGCTTAATGATTCAGAATGTACTTTAATGTTGAATCATCAACAGTGTTTTGTTGTTTCATTCAACATAGTCTTCATTCAGAGGTGAGAATCAAACACACTGAATGTTGAACGGTTCAACATTTAGCGCTGAATGGTTCTATTCAGCAGTAAACAAACAGCCCTAACATTATAATTTTAATATTCATATCTTATCATAAGAAATGATATGTTTATTTTACAATTTATAAATTTATATTTTTACTAAGATATAAATATATGATTAATAAATTATAATCTTATCATTCATATCTTTATGATCAATAGATTAGATATCATTGATTATACTTAAAAAAAATATTCTGCCTTAACAAATATTGTTTTCGTAGTACAAAATTTCCATATCGGTCCGCCTAACTCTATAGCAAATGACAATTTTTTTTTTCTAGAAAGAAAATGAATTTTCTAAGTCATTCATTAATTTCAAATCACACGCTAGAAAAAAGGGTCTTATTTTGTAATCATATATATATATATATATATGCCTGTTTATTTACTTTTTAAAGAATCTGGCTAAATTTGTATTTTTCTAAAATAAGAGAAAGTACTTTTTTAATTTTTTAAAGTTATAAATAAACTAAATAGTATTTTAATATTTAATTTTTAAAAATTTATAATTCAATTTAGTTCTTCTTAAAATATATAGTTAATTTTACCCTTTAAAGTTACTTAAACACATTATGACTTCTATTTGATTTTTTTTATTATTATGTGGTAAGTATAAGACAATATATGTTCAAAGATAACTCTCAACCATTTGACATTGAACGCTTACACCTTAACATTCTTATTGCTCGAACATGGGATCTCAAGGAATAACAATAATTCATTTTCCACCGAGGTCATTTGGTTCGTATTCTTCTATTTAATTAGTTAGATTATTTGGGGGATATATGTCTGGTTTAGGAAATAAACCATTTTGTATATACAAGTAGAGAGTGTAAATTATATTACACATCTCTAAAAACTTTTAAAATTTTAATTTTATCTTCAAATTATGACTCTCATTCTACTTTGATCCTCAATTTCTTTTGACATTTAAAATTCACCTCCCATCTATGAACCCCATTTTATATTGGGTTCCAAACTTTTTAATGTTCCAATTACTCCCCCAAACTTTTGAATGATTTTGACGGACATTAATGGAATGTTCAAAAGTTTAGAGACCAATTTAGAATGAGGATCTTAGTTTAGGGATGAATATAGATTATTCAAAAGTATAGAGATCAATTTATAATGAAAATTATGTTTTGAAGATGAAATTAAAATATTTAAGAATTTAAGGACTAATTTTTTTTAATAATTTTCATTCGTATTTTAAAAATTATAAATAATTATGAAATTTCCAAGCTTATAAATAGAAAACACAAAACGAAAGGGGCCCATATAATAACTACTTCTTGACCACGTAGCAAATTAAGTCATATACAAATGAGTTAAGCCCAGACTTTCAGAATTGAAACACTGAGTTTTCCCATTGCATTTTAGTTCATGATAGAAATGACCGTCCAACTCAGTTGGTAGAACGTAAGGTTCTTAACCTTGAGGTCGTGGGATCGAATCTCATGGAGGGCATTTCATAATTCAGATGTCTCTCACAGAAGCTGCTCTCAACCTGGCGTTGGGGGTAACCTACTATCCTACCTCCCCTTTATCCCATTACATATGGGAATAAGGGTCAGCTAATTTTATTTTAGTTCAGGATAAAACATATCGTAGGGTTCAAATATTTTGTGTTCGGAATATTTTTTTAATTTTATTTTAAACTCAATATAGTTTTATTTTAAATAAAGCACACATATGGTATTCGGTTATAAGATATTATTTTTTTGAGTCCTCAACTATTAAAGTTACAAAATGATCTCTCGATTACAGGATATTGTTTTATTGAATCTCCCGACTATTAAAAGTTATAAAATGGTCACTTGACTATTCATATGTTCTAAACTCGTTCTTTTTTGTTAAAAAATTGATGACAATCTAAACTAGGCGTTAACCTACTAAGTGTGATATGATAAAATATGATCTAAAATCACAAATGACTATCATCCCAATCAACAAGTTAACGTCCAATTTAGATTGTCGTCAATTCTTTTTAACGAAAAGGACGAGCTTGGAACATATGAATAGTCGTAGAAATATTTTGTAATTTTTATTAGTTAGAAAACTCAATAGAACAATGTCTTATAGCTAGGGGATCATTTTATAACTTTTAATAGGTTAGAGACTCAATGTTATATAGTCGTAGGACCATTTGTGTACTTTATCCTTTTATTTTTTTTAAATTTATTTTTAATCAATTTTTTTATTATTTTAAAGGTAATTACAGGGTAATATTTATTCGAACGAATTCCAACTCATTGTTATGGATAGTTTCTCATGACGCTCAACTCTCATTAACAATTTTCGGTACTCTTTCAATAATTTAATCTCTTTTTTGTTGTTCGTTTGTTGATGCAGTCAGATTTATTTGTGTTGAAAACATTTTGATGTTTCAATATAACAAATTAAGTGTTATTGAATTTTAAGATTTTATAAACATTTTTAATGTATATTCGATTAAATTATTCGAATATCAAAATATTACTCCAAGTTTTTCAAAGGTCAATTTCAATCCTTACTAAAGTGTAAAATTGTGTTTTAAAATTAAAATATTTTTGAAACAATTTTTGACAAAGTATTTCGAACCATAATCGAGCCAAAAATAATTTTTAGGAAGGGATGTACCAATACACTCTTTAGTGTATCGATGCACACCCAATATCGAACCTATTTTGTGTACCGATGCACAGACAATGCATCGATACACTCCTGGCTCCTAAAAACATCGAATGTAATTAGTGTACTGATACACTAGGTCATATAACGGTCAGAATATTTGAATTTTACACACAGTGTACCGATACACCCTTGAGAGTGTACCTATGCACCTACGCTCCCAACAGATTTTTAAATGATAATTACACCATAACGGCTCTATTGACTTCTCCAATAATCTCCAACGTTCAGAAGTGATTCAAGTAGTATTTAAACAAGCTTAGAAGCCATTGATCAACAACAATTAAGAAGAGAAGCTAGAGAATCAAAGAGAAAGCCTTAAACTTATTGTTTGAGCATTTTCAAGCCAAATTCCTTTCAATAATCATTTTGCTTTCAAGAA